GGTGGAGCTCCAGTTATTACCTTGAATTATCAAAGCCGTACAATTTTGCAGCAAGCGAAATTAATAGAACTATTTCAAGGTTTTCGTAACTCCCGTCTTTATTCAGACGGTAGATCAGTTTAGTTGGAACAAAGAATAGAATTCAAGCTTTAGACAAAGGATAAAGATCTTTAATAAAATATAGAGATTCATTTAATTAGGAAATTAACTCGAAATTTACAAAATAAGCGTAGGAAATAGAAATTCTATTTGACAAATGTAATACAAATAAAATGAAATATTATATAAATATGCGACATTGATATAATATCATTTTAAAAGCACTTTAAAAGCCATTTCAAAATTTATTAATAAATGGAACATCAATTCCAGTGTATGAACTTCTAAGTAAAGTTCAGACTAGAAACTTAATCAACTCAATCCTGTAACATAGTCATCTAATATTTCTAATAAGTTCAACAACTACACGTTTATATCCACCACGACCAACATAAAATATGCTATCGTAAAATCTATAATTTATTTGCGTTATTTTGGACATCACACATAAAATATACACAATACTATCCTTTCTTACCGCCGATCTTATTTTGGCACACGTTCTGGTAGGTATGATATTAAAAATGGAACCATAACTTTTACCAAGAAAAGGGGATTACTACCACAAGAATATTTTCATCAGAAATATAGACCATTTCTCGTAACACAAGAGAAGGAGAACAAAACAACTGTTTTGATCATTTTTTTATCTCGTATGAAAAAGATTCTCAATATTAAAATAAAAAGGCTATATAATATTTTTCTTTAATACTTTTGTGATATTTTATTTGTGATAAATAAGTATTGTATATTTCCATTCTGCTTTGCTGTGAATATATAAATGTAATAAAATATTTTGAAAAACTGCACGAAAATGAAAAAAACCTTTCAAATTATATTTCCCACAATTACTATATTTTTTCATTTCCAATAAATCTTTCCTAATTAATCGACTTAAGCGATGGAGAAATCATTTTCATAAAATTATCATCAGAATCGATAGATGAATGATTCGCACGAGAACTTTGCTCGGAACTTCGCTTCAAAACTAGCTCGATTCCGCGTTTGTGCCGTCGAAGCATATCGCAACTCTGGGAACTCGCAGATTCGCGATGGGGGAAAGGAACAAAAGCGAATTAGCGATTTCTATCGGTGCTTCTGCGATTGGAATGAGAACGTAGCAAAATCCAGGCCGCGGTTACGACAACCGGCCGTTCACACGGCAGACACTGCCTCCTCTTTTTCTATTGTTATCCCACGAAACTTCGAGGATTATTAAGTTTAGTTGATTTCATCCGGACTTGAGTCAAAATTTAAATGATCGCGTTGATCACACTCGTGATTTTAAGAAATTTATTCATTTTTTGATATATAGTTTATAAATTAAGAAGTGGGTAAAATTCTTTTTACTTTTCATAATTTTTTAATGAATTGACATTTTTATATTGAGTAATTGCTATTTTCATTGTTATTTTCATTGCTACTTTTTCGATATATAATTTATATTTTTTGTTTAAAATAATATAGATGAAAAAATTAGATATGGATCGGATTAAAGAAAATTTGTACATGCACAATTCACATAATGATAATGTTATAAAAATGTTTGTTATAAATTTGCGTGTTTAAAATATAATCCATACAATCAAATAAATATCTATTTTAAATTAGTAAATTTAAATTATTTTAAATCAAACTTAATTACGCATTAATTATATCGTTATAACTGATAGGAATAATAAATTCAGTTAATATATTCTGAAATAAATCGATTTTAAAACAATCCTCCCCAAATGATCAGTCCAGCGTTTATAATGACAAATATTTATATTAAATATTTCACATAATTATTGCTTGCATATTTTAAAAATATTTATTAAAAATATTTCAATGCAACCAAAAAAAAAAAATAAATAAATAATTTGAAAATAAAAATATTCGAATATTTTTACAATAAAAAGTATTAAAAATTATACATATTCGTTTTTATTGAAAATCAATTTCAATAAAATTTTCGATTCTACGCTATTATCATCCCCCATTGTTCCATCGAATGAAACTCTGATTATAAAATTGCTAGGCTTCTATTACAATGATATATTTTACCTGAAATTTTCACAGATTCCGCCATTCTTTCTTTTTTTTCATCGTTCAGTCTATTCCTTCTATTTTTTCCATCTCTCTCCACTCTTTTTCATTCGAACTTTTTACTCTTGGTATGATGCTCGACAAGCTAGATTATTATGACGGCGTGCATGTCAAGTGTTACTTGACATTATTTTTTTCGTTTTGTCGTATATTATACCATTCAAACGTCGCCAGATATCTGTACGTTGAATCGGTACTTTTTTTTATTATCCTCTTTTCTTTTATTAATCCTTTTCACGATAAAGAACGAGTTGCAAAAATAATTTTCTCCAAATTTGTTTTAGTATTATTTCATGCATAATCAGGCTATAACATTATTACATTATCCAGTTTAATAATATTATACCTAATAAGTTTGGACTTAATAAAAAATAATTTCAATTTCAAGAAAAATCTTTCGTTTGTAAATCAATTCATGATTTGAAAACAATATCTTATTAAATAAAGTAGATAAATTTTATTATATTAATATACTCTCGAATAATGTTTATTGGCTTTCCCTCATTAATTTGTATTTTCAGAATCGATGGTTGAAATACTATAATTAATTTGTTATTCCATATTATTCATCTCATTATGGACCGACGTAATTCTGATTCCACGATAAATCGAATTAGTTTTTCTTCGTTCCCTGGTGATTTTTATTCAGCCATTAGGGTGTAACCACCGTTGAATACCTGCACTGATCACCGACTCGGTTCATTTCCTCTTTACTTTTTCTCCTATTTTACAATTCTGATTTGCTTACTATTAGCACAGATATATTTCTTTCTTCCTTTTTTTTTTGTGCCAATTACATTTTCATTGTATCATCAATTTCTATATTGTGAATAGATCAATAATTAAAGTTAACAAATTATAATCGATATTATATTAAATAAATATTTGGAGTAAAGAAATTTATTTGAATATTAAATCCTTCTATAATTTTTATCGTTTAATAAGGAAAAGAAATGTTATATAGCTTTTTATTTTTATTTATAGAAATATATTTTTAAGAAGTATGAAAAATATCTCATTATATTATTTATAATAATACGAAGGTTAAAATAAATTAACAAATAAAAATAATTATCGATTAAATGAAAAATTGTGTATAAGAATAAAATTAAAATAATTTATGTATGTCTTTTTGATATATGATAAAAAGTTGTCGCATCACATCACAATTAACAAATATTACACATTTCTGTTCAAATATTCACAGCAAATGTAATATGCTTAATTAAAATAGATTTGAATTATTATTATAACTTATTAGCACAAATATTACCAAATTAATGATGATTACCAAATTATGGTCGCTCTTCGTATCTTCGTTGCTCTAATTATTGTTTTTATGTTACCAGCACATTAATAGTAATACAAGCCAAATTTAATTACTTTTCGCAATCAATAATCATATGCACATATAACATACACAAATGAATTTATAATAATATATTTCTTTCAAATTATTATTAAATAGAGATAAAGCTCTGATTCAAAAAATTTGATTTTAGTTAAATATTGAAACAAAAATTATCGAAATGGAATAAAATTCCAGGTCCACCAAAATCACAAAGGATTAATACTTAAAAAAAAAAAAAA